GGACATTGTTACACCATAACACCAGTATTCAGCCAGCCAGAATACTGACTTCCAAAATAATTTTGTTAATTTAAGGTCTTAAACTGTAACAACTTTCAAGCTTTACCAGTTATTGAAGAGCTGTTTCTTTCTTCTGCCCAATAGATAAACTACCTAAGCTCTACAAACACCAGTTGTACTCATCATGCAAGTGGGAGAAGTAAAGCCCAAGTACTACAGAAATACATAAAGATTATTTTTGTTTCCCCTAGAAAATGCCAAGGAATTCATGTATTCAAACCTCAGGCAGGAGCAGGAACAAGAAAGCATCCCACGGTAAACAGAGGGAAGTCTTGCAAGAGCCAATCTTCCACAGCCGCAGGCATCACGGGTGCCGGACAGCCAAAAAAAGTCAGACCAAAATTTTCAGCTTGCGTTCAGGAAGGATGGGACTGAGGGTGGAACGCATTTTCCCAACACAAGCTTCTACACTTGTCTGCATGAGGTCTCGCTCCACCCTCACAGGTTAAGCAAAGCTTTTACAGAAGCATGGAAAAAGGGAGAGTTGTCTGTATATACCAGTGCTGCCCTTTCAGCGGTTTTTCTCCAAGACTAGAGAAAGTAAATTCATACAACATGGGGGAAAACCAGAGCCACTTTGAATCAAAGAGATTAACTGAGGCCAGTTTCCGAAAGCTCTAGATGCCCTAGGGGTGGTCAGGTAACCTAAGCTAGCACCGTCACATTCTTGATGAAGCTTTCCTAACCTCCTCTTGCTCCATCCTTCTGGATGCCAGGGAGAGAATGAAAACCCAAAATCATGAACTCAAGCACAGGAGGTCACTGAGAGTGCTGCTCTCCACAACTTTCTGCTCTGACAGGAGGCTATCACACCAACCAGCGTGGTTCCTTGACTTCATGTGACACAGCCACTGAAACCATGCCCACTGAAGTACCACCTGTTCTTCAAGTCTAAATCTCCATATACAAGAATTTCATGATAAAAAGCGATAGCAGCATACGTAAACTTCCAGGAAACATTCTATTTACCCCTGAGGAAGATATCATAGTTTGCCCTGATTATGATATCCAGTTAGTTTAGATAATTCCCAGATAAAGTATTTTGGGTACCAACACAGAACATAGAAGACTATTCAGTTTGTCACACCATACTAAAAAACTCTAGAACATCACTCGTGTGGATTTAACTACAACTGATGTTTGAGTTTGACAGTGCATGGCAGTCTGCATAATTACAGTCTATTCAGTGTAGCTAGAAAGCTATTAAAAAGCTAACAAAAACACTGCGTAATTGATTTTAGAAACTTATTACCAAAAGGAGGAATTGAGGACAAGCGTTTGGCAGGCGAAAAAACCCCAACCTTTGCCATCTATGAATAATGGGAGTTTCAAGTCACATTAACTAAAAAGGACATAAACTGCTGCCTTTAGAGCATAAATCAAGGACTATCTTGGGATGGTCTTACAACAAGGGAGGCTGGGGGACACTACTTTGGGGGCAGAGGAGAGAAGAAACAGTGAGGATCAAATATAAGCAAAAATTACTTCATCATGGTCTTAAAAGAAGGGAGGCTGGGGGACACTATTTTGGGGGCAGAGGAGAGAAGAAACAGCGAGGATCAAATATAAGCAAAAATTACTTCATCGCTGACATAACCTGCTTTGGTAGTGTGTGATTCCTGCTAAATAGTCATTTTATGAAGCAAGGTACCTAAGGTGCTTCAAAAACACTAGGGCAGTGAAATGCTAAAAGAGAGTTCAAAGAAGGGAGGCTGGGGGACACTATTTTGGGGGCAGAGGAGAGAAGAAACAGCGAGGATCAAATATAAGCAAAAATTACTTCATCGCTGACATAACCTGCTTTGGTAGTGTGTGATTCCTGCTAAATAGTCATTTTATGAAGCAAGGTACCTAAGGTGCTTCAAAAACACTAGGGCAGTGAAATGCTAAAAGAGAGTTCCTAAGGGCAGCATGGTGGCTCTGGAGACCAGACTGCTCTTGTCCAGCCATAGGGAACTCTTGTGTAGTAACAGCATCTTCCTGCTGCATCTGTAAGAATTTTCTTTCATAAAAGAGTCTTGCTAAACTCATCTGGAAACATGTCTGACATACAGCTTCCCTCAACACAATGGTTGGACTTGATGATCTTGAAGGTCCTTTCCAACCTAGTGTTTCTGTGTGATTCTGTGAACACTGAGATAAAAATGAACCTGGGGAAAAAAAAGAATCTGGGATCACGTGTATTAATGAGACAAGGATAGGAGAAGTCTGACAGAAAAAGTTCAGATAACTAAGTGCAGGTCAACCCTGCTCACGCTCCAGAGAGGGAAGCTCCAATCCCCAAAGTGGGATTTGGAGCAGCTCCCCACTCAAAGCCGGGCCAAATCAGCCCAGGTTCCTCAGGACCTTGTCACACGGTACCTGCAGGACCAGGCTCAAGGAAAAAGCTATGCCCTGAAGAGCACCAAAACAAGCCTTTACGCACAAAGACGACTTCCCTGATGGCTGAAGTACGCTCCGTCACTGCGAGGTACAGAGCACTGCCTGCTACAGGGAAGGGGGCTGGACCACCACACCTCTACTTGCAGAGGCCAAGGCTTAGTTTAAAGCTGGGACAGTGGGAAGAAAAAAAAAAGTTAAAGCAGAAAGAATTAAATAACCTTTTTACAGAATCACTTCCAATACCACCTCTTTAAAGCATAACATACTTTGAAACGCTGCAAGATATGAAGGTATGCAGGGGACACATCTCAAAGAGAGACAAAAAAATTCTTTAAAGCAATTTTTTAAAACTCTAGATAGCAACGGGTATTTCAGAATAGGGTATTTATTCATAGGAAGCTGTTATGACTATTTGAGTTTTCAAGGCTCAGCAAAAAAAACCCCAAGAAAAAATCTTTAGAGAGTACAACAAAAATCTTTAGAGAATACAGTACATGTACAAAAAGAAACATGACCTTCACTTGTTTTACTGGAGGGAAAACAAAAATCCAAATGGCAAAACCCCCTTTCAAGAACTGAATTCGGACTATAAATATCTGCTAAAAAAACCCTGTAATACTCCAGTATTGCATTTCACAACAGCCATTCACCAGCTCGTCTTCTGCCACACTGCTGAAAAGGCACCAGACTTCATCTTATCACAGGAAGAATAAAATGAAAGGGCAGAGTAAGAAATACTGCTATTTTCTACATGACATTCATTACCATAAATGAAGCTATAAACCAAGGTTCAAGTGCAATGCAGGTCTTGAGCCCATGAATTAGCAAAGTTCGGGGAGCACAAAAGAAAAAATTAACTGCCTCTTAAATCTGTTCTTGATCTTTTTTGAATTTACAGTATCACTTTTTTGCTAACTAAACATTTACTTTTTTTTTTTTTTTAAAGACAGAACCCAGGGGGAATATAAAACTGTCAACATAAATAATACCATTATCTACAACTTGGCCCTAATCCAGCAAGTTAAATTAACTCTGCCAATTGTAGCCCATTTAAATCAAGACAGTACTTGCAATTTAGGTTATGATTATTACTCTTAGCTGACAAAAACCCCCAACTAACAGGTAATAGGGGTGCATTTACTCAGACAGTTGGTGTAAAAAAAAAAAAAACCACCAACCAGAAACGAACAGCCCCAAACCAGAAAGTTGTTATCACTGTTTTTTGAATTACCAATTTTTTAGGAACTTGCATACAAGGGAAGACTAAAGGCATACATTATTATGTTTTATTCAAATTGCAGCTAACACTGCCATAAAATTTTACAGCTAAATCTGTTACTGTCACCCAAGGGCTGGGAACACATAAC